GACGAGAAGCTGCGGCACGTGGAGGCCGAGCGGGTCAGGCTCGCCCTCCTCGAGGACAAGCTGAGGCATCTCCTCCAGGTGCTGCTGACCTTGGCGGACCTGGTGAGTGGAGGCTTACTGCGCCTTGATGCCTGGGGTTCTCTGTGAAATGTCAGATTAAATGCAGATACTTGCTATATTGAAGGTTTTACAGGAAGAAAAATAATTTTCATTGCCACCAACATTAGGGTATACATTGAATATCACACACACACACACACACACACACACACACACACACACACACACACACACACACACACACACACACACACACACGCACACACACACACACACACACACACACACACACACACACACACACACACACACACACACACACACACACACACACCACTAAACCAATCACACTCATTCGTCGCCCAAACTGACACTTCCTTCGCCCGCAGAACCTTTCCCGCCGCACCCTCGGCCGCCTGATCCTCGAGGCCGTGGAAGACGCCGCCGGAGCCAAGATCGGGGAGGTGAGGAGCCTAGCGAGCCTCAGGGACAGCGACGTGTCTCCCCTGGCGTTCCTCCCTTCCTTCCTCTCCTCGACGAGCAGTTACCACACGCTGTCCACGGAAACCCTCGTTCACCTGGCGCTTCGGGGCCTCACTCGTCCGCCTCAGATGCCCGAACTCCCGGATCACTTCGAAGCTACTCTTGGCTAACGACGTCGTAAGAATATAAGACGACAGTGAGAGTGATATATGGAAATTTGGGAGGAATGAAGGGAAAGGTAGTGGTGTAAGTGAAAAGGAGATGTTAAAAGAAAGTGAAAGTGTAATATGCTAAAGACTGCTGTAATATATTTTATTTCGGACAGAAAGCATTTCTAAGATTTAAAGAAGAAACTGATATACCTGCAATATTCCATATTTTTTTCTTAGGAACTTTGAATGCCTTTGAGTATTGTCTCAAGATGTTCAAGAGGTAGTGGTTGTGAATGTGTTTGTCTTTTGTTCATGATTAAACACACTTAATGACAATTCAGGAATGATAAAGTACTGCATAAGTATGTATGTAATTATGCGCGCATTATTAAGGCATAGAGCGAAGAATTTCTTCATACCGCAATATAGAAACAGAGAAACACACTCAACCGATCCGTCTAACATGTAAATAAAATTTTAAATTCTTCCGGTATTCTGCTCTCAAATTTATACTAATTTTCCGAAGTACTTCTATGCTGCCACCTAGTGTTTATGGTTGCTTAGATCATGTGCATTTAATATATGTATATATATGAATAATGAAAACACTCTACCGTGTTGATACTATGGTAGAAAAACCCACGCTAAATCTAGTTTTTACATTGTGGGTTTTTCTACCATGTATATATATATTTTTTTCTTATTTTCTCTTTTAGAACATGAGGTTTCACAAAGGAATAATCACGTTACCAAATCTTTTTAATTCAATGTCGCTGGCCTTTTTTATTTCATCATATAAGCAATTACATCAGTCTGTCATATCTGAATCTGATTGTGATATAACAATGAGGTTATCGCTTTTATCACATAACGATATACTGTATCTTCAAGCATTGGTTATTATGATTTCAATTCGACCCGTTTTATATTATTTCTGTTTGGTATCGGCTCGAGATACTGATCAAGAATTAATACCAACCATTATGAGAATCTGCTTCGTCGTAAAGGAGACGATGCAAGACTTCAAAAAGCGATAAGAACAATAACAACAGTGACGACGACAACAACAACATCATCATCATCATCATCATCATCATCATCATCATCATCATCATCATCAACATCAACATCAACATCAACAACAACAACAACAACATCAACATCAACATCAACATCAACATCAACATCAACATCAACATCAACATCAACAACAACAACAACAACAACAACCACAACTCCACCTACAACTCAAGCTAAAACTACAACTACAACTACAACCATAACTCCAAAAACTATAGCTTCAACTACAATTACAACCATAACTCCAACTACAACAACTTCAGCAGCAACAAGAACAAATCTAGATTCAGTATACAGTCTCAGGCTAAACATATAATGAAAAAAAAGTGTTGTGCAATAAACATTACTAGTATTTGGTATTCATAATAATTATTTGTATTAGTTTGCCGAGAATGTGATTTATCCATTGATGTGAACAAACATGTAAAATAGCTTTACCTTTCAACGTACAAAAAAAAACTTCTGAAATCCTGTCCTTTGCGTTGTAATAAATAAGATTTTTTATACTTTAATCTGAATTCAGAGTGTTATATATGATAACGGTTTAAAATATGTTTTTTTTTAAATCTAATAGGCCGCTTTTACACACAAAAATACTTATTAGTTATTTTTAAGGAGATTCTTATTTATCTGTATTTTCTTTACTTTTTAAGCTTCTAAAACAACATTATGCTAGTCTTAAATACTTTATGTAGATATGTATAATAAATATTTGTATGAAAATATGGAAATGTTTTATTGAATGATTCCGTTATTTATATCAGAAACTGACTTGAATTCAGACATGGTAAGACATAAAGGCACGTAAACACACATTCTCTCTCTCTCTCTTTCTTCTCTTCTCTCTTTCTCTCGCTTTTTTCTATTATCTCTCTCTCTCTCTCTCTCTCTCTCTCTCTCTCTCTCTCTCTCTCTCTCTCTCTCTCTCTCTCTCTCTCTCTCTCTCTCTCTCCCTCTCTCTTTTGGTGCTCTGTATATCGGTAGCGATCTCGTCTAGCAATCTTGCTGACCTGCGTTCAAATCCCTCGCCGTCAGTGGATGGTAACCCGGCCATTCCTTGCACACAGGGGATATCTTAGAATCAAAATAAAACAGACACTATGTCACACCAAGAATATCCATTGTATCAAATGGAATCAAATTAAATCTTTAAATCATCTTTAATCTTTAATCTCTCTGTCTCTCTTCTCTCTCCACTCTCCTCTCTCCTCTCTCCACTCTCTTCTCTCTCTCTCTCTCTCTCTCTCTCTCTCTCTCTCTCTCTCTCTCTCTCTCTCTCTCTCTCTCCCTCCCTCCCTCCCTCTCTCTCTCTCTCTCTCTCTCTCTCTCTCTCTCTCTCTCTCTCTCTTCTCTCTCTTCTCTCTCTCTCTCTCTCTCTCTCTCTCTCTCTCTCTCTCTCTCTCTCTCTCTCTCTCTCTCTCTCTCTCTCTCCACTCTCCCCTCTCCTCTCTCTCTCTCTCTCTCTCTCTCTCTCTCTCTCTCTCTCTCTCTCTCTCTCTCTCTCTCTCTCTTCTCTCTCTCCACTCTTCTCTCTCACTCTCCCTCTCCTCTCTCCTCTCTCTCTCTCTCTCTCTCTCTCTCTCTCTCTCCTCTCTCTCTCTCTCTCTCTCTCTCTCTCTCTCTCTCTCTCTCTCTCTCTCTTCTCTCTTCTCTCTCTCTCTCTCTCTCTCTCTCTCTCTCTCTCTCTCTCTCTCTCTCTCTCCTCTCTCCCTCTCCTCTCTCCTCTCTCTCTCTCTCTCTCTCTCTCTCTCTCTCTCTCTCTCTCTCTCTCTCTCTCTCTCTCTCTCTCTCTCTCTCTCTCTCTCTCTCTCTCTCTCTCTCTCTCTCCTCTCTCTCTCTCTCTCTCTCTCTCTCTCTCTCTCTCTCTCTCTCTCCTCTCTCTCTCTCTCTCTCTCTCTCTCTCTCTCTCTCTCTCTCTCTCTCTGTCTCTCTCTCTCTCTCTCTCTCTCTCTCTCTCTCTCTCTCTCTCTCTCTCTCTCTCTCTCTCTCTCTCTCTCTCTCTCTTCTCCTTTCTCCTTTCTCTTTTCTCTTTTCTCTTTTCTCTTTTCTCTTTTCTCTTTTCTCTTCTCGCTTCTCGCTTCTCTTTTCTCTCTTCTCTCCTCTCTCTCTCTCTCTCTCTCTCTCTCTCTCTCTCTCTCTCTCTCTCTCTCTCTTTCTCTTTCTCTCCATCTCTCTATCTATTTATCTATCTATCCATATTGAAGGTCTCCACTTGAGGACAGTACAACACTTACATCCCTCTATATTACTTAAGAACACGAACTCGTACAATAAACTACGAAGAAACACCCTCTTTACTCAGCAATAAGCAACTCACAATAGCTACCTCGCGGGACACACTCATTATAGTCCATAGGGCAGCCAATGAGAGTTGTTGCTAGGTAACACGTTATGAAGGCAGCTCACATAACAATGTATATATTAATATCTAAACACGCTGCTATATATACTGAAAGAAAGTTAAGTATTGATGGACATTTGGGCGGACAAGGCATTGTGCGGGGGGAGAAAAACAGTTGTAAACCAGTGCGCAGTGACTCTCCACTGATTTTGAAGATGAACGGAGATAGTGTGGTATTCCATGTCAGAGAATGAACAATTCAATACCTTAATTAACTCCTTGACTTGACCTGCAGAGGAGGATCTGAAAACACCTACTCATCAGGCTGCCACGTGGTTTCGGGTAACTTTGAACCTCTCCACTGAACCTTATCAGCTGTTTCTCTGCTCCCCATTCTGGTTCGTTTCTGAGGGTGTGGGGGATCTATTAATGGTTCACGGATGGAAAGAAACTAAATCTTGGATCCCGCGAGCACAAATTTCTACAACGCTCTCTCTTCCAGTGTTTATCAGTCCCCTGGATCGCGGAAACCATTCTGGAATCCTCCTGTACTAACTTCCTCTTAAGCGTCCTTCCCTTAGTTCATTTTCAAGACTCCCTCGGTCACCATCGAATTCAGCAAACCAATGGCAGGCAGGGAAGGGACAGACGATAGTCTACGGAGGCCAGATCCAGCTATTCGAAGGTCCGCCGCTGATCGAGAACACGCAGGAAGTCCTATGCTTTAGTTGTACATGTATTTCTTTAACGAAAGCACTAATGTATCACCTCCGATGCCTAAATGTGAGTGTACTGTGGTGTATGTTATCCCAAGCCGTTTATCCTTTGAACTTCATGGGGTGCATAAATACAGGCCATAATTGTTGAAATTAGTGTACCTAGTTTTCCAATATTATATAAATCGATCAAATGTATGAGTATATGTATATATATCTGACATTTTTTAATACTAATCAGGGGTTATAATCAAATAATAATTATACTGTAGGTCGTAGAAATTAACTTCAGTAGTGTCTTAGATCATGAAGAAGAGAGAGAAATTAGTGTAAGCGGTTTGTGGTGAGATAACAGACGTTCTCCCGGTGACAGACGGACACTAATTTCTCCTTCGCCAGGAAAGAAAACATGCTCACAGCAACAGTTGTCTCTTTAGCGAAACTACATATTCATTTTGGACGATGCAATGATAGTGAGAAGAGCAGAACTAGTAACAGTATTTACTCCGGAACTCGACGGTTGAGGACCCCCCCTTACCTCTCTATCCCCACCCCCCTCTTTACAGGATTTGGTGCATGACCCTTCTCCCCCCTCTCTTCTACTCCGTGATTATCTCCCGACGAGACGACACGCGTGCATGCTTTTATGCACACAAATGCATGCTTGTCTAGTTGGGGATACGTGGCATACACACACCCCTCAAATACGTATCCACCACTGGCCTAGAATACTCTGCACATCCAGAGTTCACACCCACAGGTCGAGAAAAGTATAGTACACATGAAGTACACATACAGCACACATACACCCACATACACGCGCAGGAGGAAGCCGCACCGCGAAACAGAGGTCAAGGCTCCACCCTGCTAAATCGCCGCGTCGGACAGGTATGGCAATCGGTGTGGTTCCTCCTATTATGGGAAGCACTTTGGTGGCGGTGACGGCAACACGGCAGCGAGGAGGCGCACGGTCAGCTGTGTGGATGTCACGCCTCAGAGCGCCTGGAATTAGGGCTAAGACACTGCACGTTACTACCCGAGGGAACTGAACGGTCGCGCGTTAGCCACACCACGGACCTTTTACCTCGCGACTGACACCTGCTGTGGCTTACACGATTTACGATTCCTTGACACTGCGTAGATTTTGTGTGTGTGTGTGTGTGTGTGTGTGTGTGTGTGTGTGTGTGTGTGTGTGTGTGTGTGTGTGTGTGCGTGTGTGTTTGTGTGTGTGTGTGTGTGTGCGAGTGTGTATACTCTAGATTTATTTATTGAGAGATTGTAGCCTAAAGTCTGTCTACAATAGTATTTATTCCTATCTGTTTTAGGTATATGTATGACTTAGTCCCTTTAACAAACCATAAATATTCTGTATACATTTATCTCCTTCATTTGAGAAAGTAATCCTCATTTTGAGATGGTAATATATGCTGTATCATTTCACTCCCTCCTGCATTTTTTATATATACAGACACATACACACATGCATACAAATATCAATTCATCTATCTGACTATCTACCTCTATATATATATCTTTCTTTCTGTTTATCTATCTATCTGTAATTATCTGTCCATCCATCTATCTATAATTATTTATTTATCTATTTATCTATCTATTTTCTCTCTCTCTCTCTCTCTCTCTCTCTCTCTCTCTCTCTCTCTCTCTCTCTCTCTCTCTCTCTCTCTCTCTGACTCACGCACACACACACACACATGTATATATACATATATGTATATATATATATATATATATATATATATATATATATATATATATATATATATACATATATATATATATATATATATATATATATATATATATATATATATATATATATATACATATATATATATATATATATACATATATATATATATATATATATATATATATATATATATATATATATATATATATATATATATATATATATATATATGTATGTATATGCGTATGTGTGTTTGTGTGTGTGAATGTGCACCTTCATTTTGTACTCCAGTCCCCACAGTTTCCGCAGCGTCTGACATCTGACTTCAACGCTGTTCATCCCCTGCTTAACCAGGTGACGTCCGCGTTAGGAAAACCACAAGCGGAACTGTACCTTGTGATGGCGTTCGTCTGGCGCTGGTATAAGAAAATTCGTCGACCCACGAAGTCCATTAAAATAATATGTTGCAATGGAACCTCATCTTAGCATTTTGAAAGTACCCGTTAAGTCAACATTTTTTTTATAGTAGGAAAAGAGAGATATATTCGAATCTCTTCCACATAAACTTACATCAGAGTTTTCGGCTAAACCTGGATCCATTAGAGACACTAAGTTCACAGCAACATTTTTTCTCTTGAGCGAAATTACATATTCATTTTCGACGATGTAGTGATAGTGAGAAGAACAGAACTAGCAACACTATTTACTAAGGAAGCGATCTCCATTCCTCGCCACGAACTGCACCGAATCTAATGAAACTCGCGCCCCGGATCCTGAGGAATGACGCAGGAGAACAGCAATTTTCCGAAAGGACTGAACGCTTCGGTCGTAAGCATATGCCACAGTAATTAGTTAGCTGTCATCTCCTTCCTGTTACAATTAAATAAAGTCGGAGTTCACACGCCTGTTGATGGCACGCTCATTACTTCGCGGGGTCACGGAAAAGCCCTCTGTCGG